TACAACCGGTTTTGCAGCAGTCGTAACACATTTGCTCATAGATATCTACGCTATGATTTACGTCCCGATGTTGGCGGTGACAATTCAGACAAACGGCACATCTAATGGATGAACGAATGCTATTTTGTGATAATAACGTGTTGACGTTGTATAACACATCACTTTACACCAAACAAAACATATGAATTAACGTATGGATTAATGTGACGAGATCATGCAGAGAGCAATAATTCGTGTCTGTTAAGAAAACATGAAATATGTCTTACATTATAGCTTGTTTCTTAAAAACTTAATCTATGCAATATACATGCGTTGAATTGCTATATTAAAACGTATTACGTCATGATTTATTACCGGAGTTTTCTTCAATCAAGCGGGCGTTTGATTTTGCTGATACTAGCTTAAAATGTGTCTGGTCTGTAGTAACAGTGCAAATTAAAAGTTATCTTGTGTGACAAGTCAATGGAAAATTTTTGGAATTTGATATCATTTACTGTAGTCACAGTTGTTTAAATCTTAAACTCGATCTTGATCATACATAAAAATGTCATATATATTACTGTAACTAATTCTTGAGTGTAGCAATAAATTTTAACGACGAGTCGATTATCCTATCTAATATAACAATGGGGATCAAAGTTGATAGATATAAAAATAAATATTTAGAGAGATAAAGAGCTTTATCGAGATAATGACTAAAAAACGAAATAAAATGGAACATAAACATATCTGAAACGGAAAATATTCATACTTGAAAGTTAATTTTGCCTTGCTTTTAACAGTATTCCTTTCTTCATTTTTATCAATATTTTTCAGTCAATCGCATATTACGAAAGTGTCTTTTTGTTTTTCTTTCATTTCTTTTTCTCATCAAAATATTTCTAATAATCACTTGTTCTATTAGATAACGCGAGACAGTTATTAAAATCGTCTGTTTTTCTTGAGCCTATCGTAAATGACATGGTTATAGGATATGTAAAGAAGTGGAAAAGTTTAATTTTATCACCAAAATATTGATAATAACTAAAAATTCGTATCTTTGCATTCGATTTAATTTATAGCATTTGATTATTATATTTTTTTATTTTAATGAGAAAATTATGTTATAAAATCCAATAGTATAAAATCAGTAAGTATATGTGTATAATATTATTCGACGTCAGTGCATCGTTGACGTATCCGCTATTATAAAGAAAAAATAGTATCTTTTACTGGTGCCAATACGCACCCTAGCGAGTTTTAACGACTGTTTCATTAATGGAATATTAATGATATGAGGCTGTTATGACAACTTTATTTTTTTTTCGTTATTTGTGTCAACGATGTCAAAACGAGCTCTCAGTCTGAGTTACAAAATAATTGCGACACCGGAAGTTATCCCACTTAGTTTCGTCATTATAACATATCATCATTAACGTAGATAAAGTCAAATACATAGTTATAAACTCATCAATTTATTTTCAACACTGTAGAAAGAGTGATTTATCGGCATTAATGTCGATTTATGCATTTTAAAGCGATAAATTTTGAAATCTTATAAGAATTATTGAAAATTAAATTTTACGTGTAAACATATGTAGATAAATTGACATTAATTTAGTAATATAGAAATATAGAAATATATTTCAAAAATTAGATAATATTTAGTAATATTTAGATAATATTTAGTAGAGATTGATCGAGTTATACATGTTTTAAATATATTATATATTTTTTATAGAAAATTGAATAAATTTCCTCTTGATGTCATAAATATTGTTAGACATCGTGAACAAAAAAATATATATATATATACAATCAAAATAAAACATTTCTTTAAACAAGATATCATTACTTGAAATATCCGAATTCCCCTGATCTATGATCCATGATCCAAAGAAATAAAATAATGGTATTTCCCCAGAACTCTCGTTTCGCTTGAATTGACGGCAACCTCATCGGGCGCATGGTTTACAGAACATTTAGCTGCGATTTTTACACTTGACTAGCTTGCAGTTCTTCTTTTGTACACACGTGCATTCATACATTGGCGTCATGCGACACGAGCATTTTACTGATTTCTTGCTGTATACTCTAAAATGCGCCCCGTCACTTTTATCGACGATAACGAATGTCAGGAATGATTTTCGATTCTATAAGAAAAACGGGAAAACGGGATGAATACGATAAACTATAAAGCTGAAAAGAGACGACGTAAGAAAGGAGATCGGACACGAAATGAAAATAGACGTCGTGCAAAAATAGCAAAAGCCGAGTTTACCAGGAACGCGAGCGAGCGTGAAAGGAACTGTCACATTCCCGGAGAAAGCCGGCGAGGGAAAACGAGCTAAAAGCGAAACGGAAAATAGAACCAGAACGAAAGGGAGTGGACGACGAACGACAGAGACAGAGAGAGAGAGAGAGAGAGAGAGAGAGAGAGAGAGAGAGAGAGAGAGAGAGAGGAGGAAGGTTCGCGAACCCATTGTTTCCAAGTGCGATACAATGGATTCTCGGTCGTGTTAGCTCCATGAAGGCTGGCACCTCATTGGCCACTCACGTTAACGCGTACACCATCCGGCCGAGTCCTCGTTGTCGTTTTGCACACCAAACGCATATCGCGTAAATGTGCATTGTGTACTCAGCATTGTTCCATGCTGAGCAAACCATAGTATTGCACGGGATAAGGAACGAACTTGAATGGTGGAAAATGGAAAGTCGTCCACGAGCTCACGAAGGAGTTACTGCAAAGGAGTGCCGAGCACAATTCGGCTGCTTTCCCGTCTCAATTTTGCGAATCTTTGCAGTAGCTTGGCTTGTAAACGAAGGAAGAGCATTGTTTGCCCTCAAGTCAGAGACGGCGGTTCCATAAAGCTTAATTGCGGCTTCCACTCCTACGAATTTATGTAGCACATCCGTTTATGCCACAACAGAGTAGCAAGAAGTTCTTGATTTTTTAAGCGCAATAAACTTTCTGCCACTGATAATAATTAAATTGTTAACATCAGTAATATAGATTTCACGACTAATTAAATTTTTTTGTAGTCAAAAGTATTTGGTCATTCTAATAGCGTAGTGTTAATAAACCCAAGGTTTCAGAAGTGATTAGATAGCATGATGTATTCATAAATCTGTAATTGCGTAACTGTTAAACGTTTAAAGGAAATCATAGCACCAACGATTACAAAGTTCCTATGCATCATCTTTGCTTAGACTTTTTGTAAACAGCTTTATCAAAGCTTTATCGGGGAACTACAGGGATAGGATATAATATAAGAGTAAATATATTCGTAGTGAATGAATAAAAGCCACTATTATATATTTCATTTCTTAATGACAGTCTGCTATGTAGATTACAGCACATGTCAAAATTTAAGTACTTCATGGAAAGTGCCTACTATAAACGTATTCTTTGGGAGAGAACTTTTTATGCAAAGAAATTCCCAAATTACCCGTTCGTCATGCACAAACTACGGAATTTTATGACTCCGTAACAAACGCGTTGAATCGAGATAATAAAAAGTTTGGGATACTAAAATAACTGGACTTGCAAATGATTACCCTAAAATTTTTTATGATATAGTGGAAATTGTCTCACTTTTCTTGGAAATTTTAATAAATTTAACTATGTTAGAATGACAAGTTATTTGTGGATTTCTTTTTTATAAAAAATGTTTAAATGGTTTAAAAATATTTAACTTCTCTCTTTATAATATAATATAAATTATAACAAACCTAAAAATATCTATTTATTATTATTTTTAATATATACACGTGTATATGACGTTTTGTTAATTCAAAATTTAACCGCGTAAACGCAATATCACGGTATTTGCCAACATTTAAAAATTCAGGACATCAATTTTATTGGTTTGTTTATCAAAAATAAACAATAAAAATATATAAATAAATCTTACTCGGCGCAACGGAACAATTAATTTATATTGCACTGATAACAAGGTTTATCGAAAAGTTTTAATCATTTATATAAAAATTTATCATATACCTAAGCAAGTCCGAAATACTCTTGTATATAATAGCCATACTTTTACATAAAAATGTTATATTTATTATAAATGTTTATTTTATTAAAATAAATTGAGAACAATGTTGTAATAGCATTTTTGCAAAATTACAAGCACAAATGTGGATCTCTTTCTCTCAGAGGGATGAATACCTCTGTGCATAAATGTTGCGAGAATTGACGTAAGCACCATTAAAATTCGTATAAAGCATTCTTACAGCCTGTTGCATAAATTTATTCTAACAATAGATCACTTATAAACAATTATTCTGTCTATAGAAGATCAGCTGCCTTCTTCTTTCGCGTGAGGTGAACGGGATATAAATTCAATGAAAAGAGCTTATAAATACAGGAGCGCCGGCACGACGCCGATAAACAATAGCGGTAGAAGATAAGAAGCTACCGTGTTCTTCCGGGCTCCCTCCTTTCGTTAGCATTATCCCCACTATATCGTCATTCCTTCGTCTATCTCTTTTCCACATAGGATTACGTCTTTCTCTCTCTCTTTCTTTCGAGGTTGTTAGCATAATAACGTCAAGTGCTTCACCACGTTGGTAGTCAATACGTACTGTCGCTCCGATCGCGCCGCATTGATCGTATTGAGTCATATTAGCGTTTCTCGAGAACTTGCATAACGAGACCCATGCGAGCGCGTATGCATACACGCAAACGCGATATAAACGTACGTTATCGGCGAGTTTCCGTTTATTATCCTTGTCGGAACTTATCACGCTTATCATCTTCTATCTGAATACAAATCTCTTCGTGGCGGTGAATTCCAACGGGCAGCGATCAGGCACCAAGATCAAGCAAGAATCGCGTTAGAGGTAGCATTCAAGCGCGTCGAGCTGACACTTCCGATAGAAACAATCGTTGTGGCACTTGACAACTTGAGCGTCTCTCGAAAACCACTTGCCTCGCGTAATCGAGAGCTTCGAGAGTATCGAGTGTCACACTCCTAACACGAATCGTTGTTGAACTCGGCATCCTCAATACGCAGACGAACCTCAATCACAGAAGGAGTTCCGAAGCAACCCTGGATACAGGATGACGACCCATATCACATCGATGGTGGTGGACTATCTGGTGTTCATCGGATTCATCGTGATTTCCTTCCTAATACCGCTATGGGGGAATTTCAAAACGAAGAAAAAGGAGACAAAGGCAAATTATGTGTTTGCCACCGGTACCGTGTCGATGGGCGCAATGATGTTATCAATCGCACGTGGGACTCTCGGTGTCAGGTCCTTCCTGGGTTATCCTTCGGAGCTGTATTATCGAGGTAGTGCCATGTGGGAGACTCTGTACGGGATGCTCTTGGCATATCCCATCGTCTGTTTCGTCTTCGTACCTGTTTACTACAGCCTCGGTATTACATCAGTCTACCAATATTTGGACATGAGGTAATTTTACAATTCTTTTTTCTTTGGCGCAAAATAATTACCACGTGATATTATTCTTCCAATTTTATGTAAAAAACATCCTCTCTATTGATGTTCACGCGTGAATTGTTTTTAACATTACATTAAATAATATATGAAGATAAATGGACTAAATTAATACGTATTGAATATACGAAAATATAACGTTATAATATAATGTTGAATTTTATTGATAATAAAATAATATTGAGCTCAAAATACCCTATAGCTAAAAATCTACAAATAGAAATTTTATGAGCATATGCTTATTCAAGAATCTTAATTATATAATATTCATTTTGAAAAATGCATTGCCTAGCTGGCTGGCTGGCTGCTACTTGCAATGCACCTGATAATGCGTATTTTTCCTTTAATATTTCGAGTATCTACTGTGTATTTCACATAAGACTATGAAAACGTTATGCAACAAATATGAATATTATTTTCTGTTGTATTTTAAAGAACGCGAAAAAAAAATTGTTTAGGTACTTGCTCAGTGCCAAAAAGGCCTCTTCTTTTTAGTTGAACTTTTAGTTAAACTAATTAAACTTATGTCCCGTACATCTTTTTTTCTTTTTTCCTCCAACATGGAGAGAAAAAGAAGAAAGATGAATCGTGCAAGAAGTTCAGCTGAATTTGACGTGCTGAACAGGCCTGTTCTTTGTCACTACACTAGACTAAACTAAAACTTTTTATCTCACTTTCATAAATTTTCAAGTAATACATGTATCTATTTCATTTTAAATACAATAAATGTACATTAATTCAACTATAAAGAACAGACCTAACGTCTCATGCGTCTATTGGCAATATTCCGTAAGCAGTTACATAATGTAATATTCAACTTTATAAGATTTTTGCTAAAAATATAAAAGTAGAAACGAGATTGCGTTTGTATAAAACTGTTCTTTGTTGCTCAAAGAATGAAAATCTGAAGCGAAATAATTAAACTCACACAAAATAAAAAATTTTTAACATTTAATTCGAAATGAGAAAAATTATTGAAATTTAAAATGTTCTATTAATTATTTTAATTGTTTTAGTAACATGTGACATGTACAGAAACAATTTTTTCCAGAAATTCTATTATTTTAACCTATCTGTCAATACATAGATATATCTATACACACCTGGGTATTGATAGAAAGGTTAAAATAATAGAATTTCTGGAAAAAAATTGTTTCTATACATGTCAAGTGTTACTAAAATAATTAATGAAACATTTTAAACTAAAATAATTTTTGCTCCGACGTAAAGAACGCTATATATAACAATTGCGATCGATTAATAAAGATAATTCACCACGTCGGAATTTTTCAGCTCTCTTAATTATGTAAATTCCCCAGGTTCAAGTCAAAACTAGTCAGATGTTTGGCGAGTTTCTCTTACGTTATACGGAGTCTCCTGAATTTGGCGGTCACAGTATTCACGCCTTGCGTCGCGTTGAAAGCGGTAATAGGTCTTCCGTACTGGGCTAGTATCGTGGGAATAACGACTATTTCCGTGGCTTTCACGATCATAGTAAGAACACGTGTATTGTGCTATACACTTCTATGTTTCAAATATCAATGTGTTCACTGAACAAAATTTCCAAATTTTCACAAATGCAATCCTCTCTCTCTCTCCCTCTCTCATTTTCATTGCTCAATATTTTGTTTAAAAATTAAAGTTGAATAATCAGCATTGAGATTTCATTCAAAGAGCATAGATTGAAATCATAACATATGCAAAATACAGCGCAATGCAATATACATATCTATATGAAAATGTCTTTTATATTTATTCGTGAAAACGCGATAATAAATATAAACTACAGCTTTTGTTGCATATGTAATGACATATTAAATGCCATTGCATTCTATAATTGACATTTATTCAAAATTTAAATTATATCCATTTCAATCTCTACGAAAAAGTAAATTATTCGTAACGGTTTTCGTAAAAGCAATTTTCGAAAAGTTCAATATTTCGGATTTAAATGAAGAGTAAAATTACGACATAATTTTGATAAACGTGAACTTTCCGTGCAAATTACATTCTAACGGCAAATTACTTATATTTGTCCTATAGGAAATTGGAGCAATCAAGCGCGCAATATAAATAGAACGCATTGAAGGACGAATAATAACAGCAACGTTATTATAAAAAAATAATGAAAAAAAAAATGAAAATATAACTTTTAATATTAATCTCTGAAATAATGGTACATCAATGTGACGCGAAATATACTACATATTACGTTTTTATATGAAGATTGTTTAATGATTAAAATTTTTAAAAACTGAATCACAATTTGATCATTTAATATTTCATTACTAGTCACTTAATAACAATAAATGTTATTTCACAAATAATTAATATTTATTCGTGTATGTTCGCTTTTTAGGGAGGTTTAAAAGCCGCTATTCTATCGGATGTTATACAAGGCCTGGCAATGATTGGTGTATCTGTGGTAATCATTATACAGGGAACTATCAATGTTGGCGGACCAGCTAACGTCCTCAATGTAACTTACGAACGCGGACGATTGGATTTTTTCAAGTATGTTGCGAATTAACACATTGAATTGAATGCATATAATTTTTATTTTGATATAAATTCACGCTTGAAATGAATCATGTACGGAATTTCTATTACGTAATTTCGCATTTCGTCTCTGAACTTTAGAATTATTAATCTCGGCGAAAATATACAATTTCAACTAACTCAGTAAATTGAATAATATTAAAATGCAATTTTATATTAAAATTCTTCGCTACGCATTTCACAATTTAAAATTATTAAATTCCGCAGCGGCGCAAAATTATTTCGCGGGCTATGCATTTTCTGCATCTTTGAAATTTTGGGGAGACAATAAAATATTTATTCTTTTTTTCTTAAATTGCAAAAGAATTTAAATAATAGAGTACTTTTTTTTAAAGACGTTAATATTATTATAAAACTTTATAAGCATATGTTACGATAAAATCACGATACTTATTCAGTAACTTATCTTATTTTCAGTTTTGATATGGATCCGACTCTTCGAGTAACGACAGTGTCGGCGACAGTAGGGCAGCTTTTCATGAGTTTATCTATTTTCGGATGTCAGCAAAATTTTGTTCAGAGATATTGCAGTATGTCCAGTCACAGAAAGGTTGTCAAGTAAGTAAACTTTTTATCTCGGTATGAAACGTTGAACAAATTCCCTATCCATGCTCTTAGCATATAACGGTAGACTACAAGACTTGCATGACACATTATGCACAACTCATCGAACGATTTGAAGGATAATGTAATTTATGCTAAATGTTCCTCGAAATATCATTTTAAACATTCAAGACATAAATGGAAATCGAGTACAAACACATACACGTAATGCATAAAATAGTTTGAATCAAACGAAAAAAAATGAATGAATTTTTTTGAAAATAAAATTGTATTTTAAATAATAAATACTAAATAATACAATTTCGTTATTTAATAACAATGAGAACGCACGTTAGAAATTATGATAGAAAATTAAATTAATAAATAGACAAGATTTCTCTTAAGACGCTAAAATAAATATTTCGTTCTATTGTAAAACATTGTAAAATATATTACATGCTTATTATTATAAATAGTATTACCATTAGTGATTATATGCATATTAGCGATCGTATGCCGACTTTTGTATGATAATAACAATTAAATTTTGTTATTAAAATTAATTTAATGGTAAAAAATATTATATGTTAATATATTAGATTCAAATGTAATATTTGATATTTTGCTAACTAGGCATTTCTTGATATGTTTAAAAACTGATATGATAAAAAAACTTTACAAGTGTATCGGTACAATTTTATAATATTTTGTAAAATGTTTCTTTTCTTGTAATTCGTAATAATATATTATTTAACAAATTGTAAAAAATACGGATTATAGAAATCTTTCACAAAATTTAAACGACGTTACACATATAATAATTTATAATATACATAGTATTTGTGATATTTATAATATCATATTCATATATTTATACTTTATATTTGCTTTAAGATTATTCTTCTTTTATACTTCTGTTTTCTTCTCGTATTATTTTAATCTGTAAATTGAAACTCTTTACATTAAGATAAGAGTTATTTGCATTTGACTTAATGTGAATCATAAGTCAGTTGCGCACGTTAATGAATCATTAAACAAACTCAAGTGACTGCAGCGAAAAACTTGAACAAGTCATGAGTAAATGCCTATACATATTAGATGTAACTAAAATACAAGCAAATAGCAAAGAAAAAATTTTGTTTTCAAAAAAAATGAAAGATAGATGTATCAGATTCAGACATTATCAGTCCAATGTTTCCTGACTTTTGTTCGAAGTTTCAATGTAATTTTGTAGCTTCCGTTAATGTTAATTGCTTGCTTGGTCAGAAATGGAATATAATTTCGAAACTTTGATAAAATGATTAACTGAATATTTGCAAGTTTTATTGATTTAATAAAGACTGAACTGTTTAAGCAAGAACCATATCAAGAAGAGAAGAATTTCAATTTTTTTGTAAAAAATTTTAAGGCATGCAAAATATCATATCATGATATACGAGCACATTCTTCACCGTAAAATTAAATTCAGGAATTTTCGTTCACGTGTGTAATATTTAGCCTTAGAAAAACGTGTTTCTTTTTACCTACCAACTTTATTTATAATCTTATATTATTTAAGACTTATTAATAGCGTATAAATGCAGCTGTTTGCACAATTGAACCAAACGCTTGCACGCTCGCAGAATTGTAATCGTGACGAAACATTGAAACGCATGTACAGTAGTCAATGTAAAAACATTTTTCTAGTCCAATATCTGATGGCACTCGAACGTGTATAAAACGTGTTGTGGCCTACAGCCACAAACTTGCCGCGATACCACTGCACTTAAATTGAAACATTACATGAAACAAATGTATTACGTTGGTCCGTAAAATTTTATCACTCGCAAATGTGTCGTTAGAGGAATCTACCCAGATATTTTCGTGACAAAAATAAAGTTTTATATTTGATCCAGCGATATTCTTATAAAATTCTCGATATCTCAATAAAAATTTATCATTAGAGATTAAATAAAATTTTATCGTTACTAAAACTTTTCTTTTACAATTCTATACATATGTTCGAAATATTATTTGAATTTGGAATATTTATATACTGTTAGCAAAACTGTTTTTGAATGTTATTTTTTAAATATTCACTGCATATGACAATAGGTTAAAAATTAAGAGTTTAATAAAATTGTTTATAAAAGATGGTTTTTATATAATTTTATATAATCGTCGTACAAAATAATATAATTATTTATATATCATAGCGTTATGATTCTTATAGGTATTAAATGTGATTAGTACGTCTCGGAAGCTGTAAAATGAATTTCTCAGCGTGTGACTATAAGTTAATAGATTTTACATCGATAATTTCCCGTGATCGTATCAGCGGTAGAAAGTTTTTGGGAAGTGGCACGATTGGACCGATTTAGGAAATTGTGCCCACAGTTATAACTATTACCACATAATCAATGAGAGCCCCGCAGGGAGTCGAATGGCGCCGCGCCAAACTTTCAGTACAGAGATTCTCGTTATTCAATAAGAGGTCTATAATATCGATGCAACAGACGTCGACGTAGATTAGATAGAATAAAGTCTTCTCTATGTATACATTTATTAAAATAACTGAGTAAATATCTCTCGCCGAGAGTGAGAAAGCAAAACTATTCAGAATAATGAAGAATTAAAACCGCTTAAAACGTCCGCATCATTTGTTATTGTAGACTGCTACAAGTTACCCGGCATGCTACAAAATTATAATGAACGACTGCGTCGTCACTGTCGGCTAGGTAAAAATTTATGTTGTTACGGGATTTACCCGTACTAATGTATATTAATGTTATGCATTATGCTGCGTAAGCGATTATACTCGATATTCTTTCCGACTACCTTGACGAGCATTTTAATTAATTTCCAGCTACATTATAATTGATTTAATTTCTATAGGTGTGCATTAATGCAAACTGCAAGGATCTGCTGTATATATCTGAACCATTAAAAAAAATATTATTAAGCACCAAGATACAGTCTCAACCGATGAACGCAGTTCTCGATTTAATTGATTTTTGTTTTGTATTTATAAAATTCACTCATTTTTATTCTTTTTACTTTTTACCTTTTTTTCATTAACAAATATAATATTAGTTGAATAGGCCCCATTATTTCGAAAAATTAAAAAAAACGATTAGAAAAACATTGTATGTATCTATAATTGTCATCTGCATTCTCGCTCGTTGTTTCTTTCATTAATTGTTTGTTACTTTCCGCTTTTATTTTTGCTTACGTAACAAGTTCTTCCGACGTGCATGATACTGTGTCGTGCGCTATTGTACTAACAATAAGTCTTACAGAATAATGTGAATACTGTCCGCGTATATGTATATGCATTATCCGTATATGCTTGCATTAAAACCGTTTTAAGCAACGCGTTTTGAATACGTGTCTGGAATATACAGAATTTATTGTCTCATATTTTGTAAGAATAAGGTACGAAGAATTAACGATTAAAAATAAATAATTTTTGGATAAAATTAAATCTTTTGCCACCTTAAAATAATATAAAACATTTTAGAATGTGCTTATAATAATTAGAAACAATGAACATTTAACAATACATACACACACACACACACACACACACACGCACACACGCACACACACACACACACACACACACACACACATACATACATACATACATACATATATACACATATATATGTGTATGTATATATACATATTGATATTGTTAAATATTCATTGTTTCTATAATTATTATAAACACATTCTAAATTGTTTTATATTATTTTAACATGGCAAAAGATTGAATTTTATCCAAAAATTATTTATTTATGTATATATGTACATATATATGTATATATATATATATATATGCAAATGCAAATATATATTGATCATAAATTTATAATATTTATTGTACTATACATCCGATGATTGTGGTATGTATTTTATCCAAAAATTATTTATTTATGTATATATGTACATATATATGTATATATATATATATATATATATATGCAAATGCAAATATATATTGATCATAAATTTATAATATTTATTGTACTATACATCCGATGATTGTGGTATGTATATGCATACGTGTATTATATTCAAACTAAATCCACTGGATTGCTGTTGAACATTGAATTTGACGTCAATCGGTTACAACAATTTACTATCACATGTCATTGTTGATCAATTACTTTAAATAAAGTAATATTGTTGTTAAACAAATACAAAATTCAAACATTGTACGAAATGTACGAGATAATGCGGCCTATTGTGCATGTATTAAAAGAGAAAAAAAAACTTATTAAAGAACTGCAAAACATGCATGGACGCAAATAACATAATTACATAACATTAACTTTTTTTCAAAAATTGTGTCATGCATTTATGTAATAACATAAACGACCCTTGTACTGTTTGATTTATTTTAATATCATTGCTACCTTGGGTTCAGCACTACGTAATTAAAATAGATAAATTTTCATAAATCTTATAGGATAATTTAATATTTCTGTCTCCGATGTTTGTAATAAAAAAATGTTTTTATTTTCAGAACGATGATGGCCAACATGCCTATAATCATAGTCTTATTTTCATTATCTTGGATTGTTGGAATGGTAATTTTTGCTAATTACGCCGACTGCGATCCACTCAGTCTGGGATATATTTCCAAGATCGATGAAATTGTACCATTCTACGTCGAAGATCAATTTTCGAACGTCCCCGGAATGTTTGGTCTGGTCATGGCAACTCTCTTCAACAGCGCCTTGACTTTGGCAGTATCAAATCTCAATTCTCTCGCGACGGTGACTTTCGAAGATTTTCTGAGTCACATACCGGCGATGAGTGATCTGAAAGACACGCAGCAGCTTCATGCGATCAAAATAATCGGTGTTATCTATGGTTTGCTAATAATCGGCCTTAGCTTCTTGGTAGCCATGCTATCCGGCGTAATAGAATCTTCTATGCTGATGACGTCAGCGACATCCGGACCCCTTCTTGGTGTATTTCTCCTCGCTATGTTGATACCATGTGCCAACTGGAAAGGTGCCGCCGCTGGCATGATTTTTAGTCACGTAACGACGATGTGGATCACCTTCGGTCATCTCAATCTGGGTACTGTCACCGAGATGCTACCTCTGTCTACGGAGAATTGCCATAACGAGACGTTTTCCTCATGGGTCACCAAACCGATTAGTCTAGAGTATTCTACACCGAACATCTCTAGCTGGACGACAATTCAGGAAAATGTAACGCTACCTAATCTGTCTGTCAACGAGACCAATAAATCATCGAATCCTTTAAATGTTCTTTATGGGATCACCTATATGTATTATGCTCTCATTGGTAGCATAACGACGGTTGGCGTTGGTATCATCGTGAGTTTAATTACGGCCGATGCGGAAGCTGACAAGTACGAGGCGCATTTGCTGCATCCTATGGCACGAAAGATAGCGGGATTATTTCCCGGAAAACGGAGGCTCTACGCCAGCAACACTCGTCTTGGGAATAAAAACGATATAAACGCCACGAATGCAACTCTTTCCTCGATGATGTCTATTCCCGATAGTGTCGAGAAAGTAACTTGTCCTCAAGGATGCGTCGATGACAGGGGAAAGCTACATTTAGATGAAGGCTATGTAGAGAAATTGAACGCGCTAAAGAGTGCTTCTCTCGATGTAACTAATGAGATCGGTAAGCATACTAGGTTGTAATACTGTATAAACGCAAGCTCGCGAATGTTCTTCATATACATTATTCGCCGCAGTATTACCATTGGATCGAAAATCTCAACACTTGCGAAAGTAGGGATATATACTGTGATGAACTCAGCGAGCGCGAACAGTTGTGTATATGTTAGTGCCAAATTTTATTATCCAAACATGGTACATGTGGGTTTGTGACCTGTGCGCGTGAAACGTAATTACGCGTAAGCAAAGTTTCCCTCAATTACAGAGTGCTCGAGCTACTCTCACATTCAGCTCAAAATATCGTTCAAATGAAGGCAATTCAGAAACGTAATTCGCAAAAACTTTTAACTTGCACATGCCAATTAGAGTTAACTACAGACACGCGTGATGTTGTAAGCTGCATTTAAACATAAACACAATTTACTAGAGAAGATTGTCAAGTACAGATGTTGTTACTGAAAGGAATTCACATTACCGTTCGTAATGAACGATTTCTGTGTTTAAGTTAAGAGGAGAACGTAGAGAATAAGTAGAAATCGGTATAATTACTATTAGCAATTGGTAAAAAACAATCACGTTTAATAATCGAAAACGTGGATACATAGTTCTGTAATTTGGTTACAGATAACAGAAAATTGATAATTAAATCACAGATAAAGCAATAAAGCAATTTTTTTCGTTTTTATTGCACAATATTTAATTACATAGTCGAAATATGTATTCAAATATATTCTTACTGCTTCTTTTTTAATTATATTCAACAGAAGGATTCATTTATTTAAATTTATCCTTTATCCAACAATTTTAATAATTGAATTGTAGAAATGTTTTTTATTATTATGTATTTATTCATGTCATTTCAAGTACTGCTTTTATTTTGTAAATATTAAGAAAAACATCTCTTATACTTATGTCAATTTTTTAAAAACAAGTTAAATAAAGAAGCAATGTTATTTGATTATAAAGAGAAACATGTCTGCATTTTATAACTTTGTAAATGTACGTATACGTATATGAGATTCAATGATTAAAATCGATACTCTGCAATATATATTTTCGTATTATATAATAAGTGAAAATATTTGATTGCAAAATAGCAATCATATGCGAGGGTTCCTCTAACATAGTATTTAGATCTTATTGTTAAACGGGTTTCGACTTTCCATAGTAATAAGTAATATTATATTTTATAGAAGATTGCGTATTTAATATGTATATGTGTGTGTGTGTGTGTGTAATTCACCGTGTGCATTGTTTTTTAATCTATTTTATTAGTATCAAACTTTAATATTAAAATCTATTTTTGTATTTTAGGGAATGTGAGTTATTTTATAAGTAAAATATCGTGCTCTTCGAAATATATACGTAATGAAAATGATGCCACTCCAGCGACTGTGATCGTTGATTTTATTTGTACCATTGTGCCTATATATATATATTTATTATATCAATAACATAACTTGCCACTTTTTATCTATCTTATATAGTCACTTGTGATCTTTAAGACCCCAATTTTTTGTAAATGCTAGTCTTGCATATACTTTCGATACGACAAAGAATTTAACTTTAATTAGTTTAACTTGTTTAACAAGCGTATTCAAGTTACTAATGTCTTAAGTTTAAATATTCGCATATTTGTAGACGATAAGTCGACATCTGTCGAATGGATATCAATGTAATTATTGATGTTTAAAATATAATTTTAGTATTATTTTAAATATTGTCAACACGCTCATAAAATATAATCTTCTTAATAAAGATAAGAATTATCTATCTTACATTGTTGTAAATGATATATTTATAGTTATGCAGAAATGAGATAGACGTTGTTTTATTCGTGCAAAATATTTGTTTGCATATTATAAACACAACATAAAACATACATAAAAAATATACAAAGATTTGCATAGATAAATGAAGAAAGATTACAAAGAACAAGCATGATGTCCACAGTCCACAGATAGACCGTCTAACCATCGGCAGTGCATTTCTTCGGGACTGGAAATTCAAGTTCGAGATGATCCGGTGTGCAGACCACGAACGCTGGCAACGTTGCGGCGATTTAACAGTAGTAGTAGTATCGCCGATACACATCCTACTCTGACTCTGAATGTCTCTGTAGTGGTGAAGACGGTCAGTTATATTCGCGAAAACACAGGCTTTAGTATTGCGCACGTTCTCGAGTTGGTCGCTCACAAATCTCATCGCGCGAAGGAAGATAATATCGCTGCAGGCACACCGAGCGATAACAGTATAAAGTTTCTCTTCTTATCGCTCTTGCTCTTCTATTCTCTCTATTTCTCTCTCTCACACGACATATCTGTCTCTCTCTTTCCCTTATTCTTCCAGCTATTTTCAGTGATGTTACATTGAACACCACCGGATTTCAGATTTGAAGCGTGCCGCGAGTACGGCTTCGATCCTGCGCTCTTCGCTTTTTCGAGGCGTTCGATAAGGCCGCGAGACCTCCATTTTGACAGTACGTCAGGAAGATCGCGTAGAACACGCAGGACAGTCGTGCGCCTGTTTTCATCGGTTATCAAGGGGGCGTACGGATTTCACGGTCGTGCAGAAGATAATACGTATATACATTTCCGTACGCTTCCTCATACGGAGTACCTTTAAGAGTACGGCGTGGGCGCGGCGCATCATGGCGGTGGAAACGAGGTAAATGTACGGAAAGCTTGCACGACACATGCTCCGATATGCGTCGGTAAACGCTGTATGCTAAATGCGAATGATCTTTGACTGAACTACAATAGTTCAACGCACAAGAGCACGGTTACTCGCGCAAATGGCTCTGGTCCAACCATAATTGTTAGCCATTTTAATATATTTTTTTTAAATTGATGATACAAGAGATAAGTAGATAAATATGAGATATGTTGCGCTTTTCGACAAGCTTAAAAAGAGAACGCATCGCGTAAAATTAAATACAAAAGATTTTTATATGCATTCCAATGCTATATAAACACAAATTCATTTATGTTTTCAAAAGTTTTACGTTTTCTTGAAAAGACTCGTGTTTATATATCTTGTGCTTCAAATTTCTATCGTATCTCATGTTCTACTATTTCACTACTTTCTGAAATGATAATATAACCATCGTTACTCTCTGATTTGTAATATTGATTGTCGAACGTACCAAGTGCTATATTGAATTGTCATTTCCCAAATTGTCGTTACGAGATGTACTATAATTGTGTGCTATAATTATAACAGGTAATTCGTAATTTCGTCGTAAATTGTAGATTCTTGGTGAATAATTAGGTAGTCTACGTGACGTGAACATATTTGCTTGCGGATTCGCGCGAACTCATGAGAAATGCGAATTTCTCCCAGCCAATGCTGGTTCGTTTCGCACTGTTACGCGAGATCCAGTGGTGCCCAACTGTTTCAAAGTTTCCGGCATCATTAGCTCGCAGGCACCATTAGAACACGCTCCTGATTGATTGCACATTGTGCATGCACTTGATAGAAGTTTCATCAGCAGCTGTGAAATAAGTCGAGATCAAAGTCCAAAATAATACAGTAATTTCCGCGATTATTTTTAACTCTTTCTCAACTCATGTTTAATATATTCTGAATACAAATCGTAAAACTAATAATAGCAATGAAAAGCAATGAATAGAAATATTTTTATTGGTTATACTTCTATATATTCATCAAGATATCATACGCCGCACAAAATAGTAATTTTCTAGAGACTGATCGCATCTTTCCAAATTTTTCTACTAAGCCATTGTTAGTTTTAATGGATGCAAATAAACAGTAGTAAATTAGTATTAGCAAAATTATCCATAAACCTCACGAAGCGAGCCCATGGAAACACCTAACGGCAGCAACGATCGTACCGTAGATCTACAAAGACTTCATTATCACTGCGTGATATATACATGCGCGCTTACGGGAGCGCGGAGAAGCATTATTGTCTGTTGGATTATGTTCGCAATCGATCGATGTTCGATTTACCGTGTGCGCGATATCGTGTGTACTCTTGAGATTTATTATCTTCCATAGAATTCGACGTTATTGTGCCCGAATTGTGACCAGTCAGCATTGACCGGGTTGATTTCGCAAGCGGAAAAATTTGTTAACGCTAAAACATGATATACGAATATGGAAAATTTACCATAGGTTAAAACGAGATCTCCGTTAATTGCTATCGTTGCAAAAGAATATTTCGAGCTTGATAAAGTATTTTCTAATTAAATTATATATATCTTTCGATTGTGATATACCGTAGATTAAATCTAATCACAGATTTTAATTAACAAGACACTTCACAACTGTGACAATAATTATAGATTGCATAGCCAGGATAAATATTTTTCATCTCTGGCCCAGATAATTCTGCATCAATGCTATATAAGATATACTTTGAAAGATGTTATCGTTAGACGATCGTCTGAACTGATGTTTTCATAGCGACTCGATGGCACCATTTTTCGGAATTACCTTCGATATTTTCGTGCATTTCATGCAGTACATTTCCTATAAATATACGTGCACATCTGCTTCTCTAATATTTTCTTTCCTCTTGCATAAAAAGGACCTTTGTGGTATTATGGCAAGAGGTTTATGTAGTCGTTTTATATATAGCCATATATTTGTATAGACTTTCTTACTTGCCTGAACGTTTACGTATCAACGAACACATTCTACAATTATATTATCTTTATCTTTTTACTTATCTCTATATATTACATGTTGAAACATATATCTATATCGATAGACTAAAATCAAGATAAAACATATTTAATCATTTTTTGTCGTGTCGTATAAATATTATCCCTCAAATATTATTTTAACAAAAATAATTTTCGAATATTTGTGTCTAACCAATTCAACAGCGACAACTTTCGTTTGTAAAAGCGATGCTATAGATATTATTAATATAATGCAAATGTATTCCACGTGCCATTGGTCTTATCTAACGGTTATGTGCTATTCGCTTAAATTACTAAAACATTTTCTTCTCCAAGTCGCATATTTAGTGATATAACTTCAATTTAATGCTAAATGTAAAACAAGATAACGATATTTGTAGCCATGCTGTCATCGATAAGAATATTACGTTTTTTTTACAGAATATTTATATAGCTGCAGCACGGTACGAATTTATCTTCTAACAAAATATAATATCTATAATTAAATCAATTAAATTGAGATCGAATTAAAAAAATAGTACCAATACTATGCTTTTGCCGATATTTTATTTAAAACATTGATTTTTATATTTAATAATACAATAGATGAAAACAAAATAATAATTTTTTACTCTCGGACTATTATTATAAAATAAGAATGATTGTTAATATACAAATGAAA